GTTCTCCTCCTTACTCGTTTTGCATCTTTATTTAGAAAAGGGGTTTTCATCAAGCTTTGGGGACTTTCAAACGCAAAATTTGAAGCGGTTCAACTAGGCGAGGTTAGCAGGTTCGAAAAGGCGCTTGTTCTTTTAGAAATTAAGGGGGTAGGGTAGGTAGGGCGTTAAGAGAGGGCTTGATTAGATTCATGCCACGAGTGCTCTAATCAAAATAATTCACGGCCTAACGCACCCAAGAGCACAGAGGAATACAGTTGACAAAAGGTGAGCAATAGGTAGCCATTTGAATCCTTAGTTTTTTCATAAGCCCTATTTAGAGTATTCTCAGAGACATAACAACACGACGGTTAAAAACTTAGATCATAAGTGGCATGACGCCTGTGGGTTACGTGACATGGATCGTAACTTGGATCGTAACATGAATCGTGACACAACCGTTAAATGTGCTTCGTGACAGAAAAACTTAGCATTATGGGAACAAATACCAATTATGGCGGCGGATTTTCCAGTTCGAACGCCATGCGACTAGCATCACCAAACTTTTGAAAGAAAAACACATTCAAAGTTATCCCTTGCCTGCAAAAATGAATGATTTTTCTTAGCAAGAAGTAAATGTGCTGGAAAATGGCTATGGTAGCGGTAAGGATGCTGAAATGGAAACCTCGTTATCTCTCTCAGGTAAGGAAATCTTGTCCGAAATAAGCTCGCCATTTGATTTCTGTAACTATTACTTCTGTTATTTTAGCGGCTGTTGAAGAATTCAGTTAGGTTTATAACCTAGTACAGTTTTCATTTAACGTAAAGGAGGGGAAATTGATATACTGTGGCGGTGATTTATGCATGCATGTTGAGGTGGACTAAGAAAGTGAGCTGGTTTCTTTAAGCTGTTTCCTAGGCAGTTGCTGAAAGTTGGGTAAAAGTGAAAAACAGTTCCAAAAAGATACTGGCGGCCGACAGTCGACCAACTGTTGGCCGACTATTGGCCGACCGTCAGCCAACTGTTGGTCGACCATCGGCCAACTGTTGGCTGTCTGTCGGCCGACGGTTTTCATTATGTTGCAGACTTAAGTGTTGGCCAACAGATGGCCAACAGGCAGCTGTCTGTTGGTAACCTGTCTGTGGCCTGTTGACAATGTGTCGGTAAGTCTTGTGCTGAATGATCGCTTTATCGCTTCAACAACTTTGTCGAAATGGGAAAAATTAATTTCAACGAGTTAGTACGGCTATTGCCTACCTTGCTTGCGTTGGCTAGCGAAACATGCCCATAATTATTGGTTGAATTTCATAAGTCAGTCATATTGAAAATTTTTCCTAGTTCCCAATCCCCTAAATAAAGTTTTGATGTACTTCCCTTCAAAACTCCATTAATATATATTTTTTTTATTTATTTAAAAGTTTCATCTATGAAACCCCATTAATAAAGTTTTATTTGTTTAGAAGTTTACTCTGTTAGTTCATTCACTTTTGTAAAGTTGGTGGTTCCTAAAGGAGCAGTTTTTTTTATTGACGATCTTTATCTCCGCAATTGTGACTTAGTTCAACTCTAAACAAACAGCTCCTCTAAGAGCCACCAAATAAAGTCAAAGTCAGTGACCAACCTGTTGATGTCTTTTATAAATAAAATAAAATTAATTCTAATAAAACACCAAGAAAGGTATTGTCACAATACGCCAAAAAGGGCGATGATCACGACCTGTCACAAGAAGAGAAAGATTAATCAGATATACATGAAGTACTGTTAACTATGGTTTTGCAATGCATTATAGGGTGATTGAAAAACTTCTTTTTTGCTATCGAGCAAACAAGCCTATTTTAGTGTAAAAATACAATTAGTTAGGAAGTTGGTAAATACAAAAATTGGTACGTACGGTCTGGCTGTCAATAATGTGTTAGTATCATGTTGGCCGATGGTTGGCCAGCAGGTTACTGACAGCCAAACATTGAGCTATTGTTCACTTTTACCGAAAGTTGAATGTTAGGAAGCAACCTAGTCAATTGATTCATTACTCATAATTCCACAGAGACTATTCTGTACTTAAAGGGCACATCCAAAACCATCTTACGGATCCTACAACCCAATGATATCTGCCCTGGACCAATCACCAGGAGGACCATATTTACTACTAGGCAAACAAAAGATCCCTTAGGGTGGGTAACAGAATCCCAAATTTAATTTCCTGCCAACAGGCCTCCCTAATTAGAGATACAGATAAAAACCTCAACAAAAATGAAAACTGATGGAACTCAAACAATTGGCAAGAAATGCTAATGACAAAAATTTCTCTGCTGACCATTTTTGACAAATAAACCTCACTGTAGACTGGAACTGCAAGCGGTATTCAACCCACAGCATGAATTACTTTCAATACCGGTCTTTGAAAAACTAGTTGACTTGTTTGGTTCATGATGAACAGAGACCTGGAGTAGAAAAATGTATTTATTCATCATGTGTATCCATTTTCCTCTTTTGGGCATCAGTCCTTGACATAATGCAACAATTACTAGCACCCTAATATATGAAGGCCTTATTACTAACATTAACCTGTAGTGAAACCTGTAACATACTGAAGCCATGTTGTTTATTTTCTGACCTTGTGGGCATGCGATACAAATATAAACCACTTGCTCGTATCGGCTGCATACATTACATCTCTCTTCTGATATGTGAAAGGAAGAAACAAACCCTGGCTAAGGCAACTCTAAACATTCTAGAGTCAATAATGTAATGTCCTAAAATTAATAATGCAGAACTCAACAAAATGTCCAATGAGATA